GTTTAAGACCCATTGGTTCGGAGAGAGATTTGACAATCGTGGAATAATCCGGATATATTCCATCAGCCAAATAATATCCGCGCTTGTAAAGCGTCCCTCTAAGCTCAAAAGAGGAGTCTGGTGCGGTCTCATTGACCCAATCGTCAAAAACAGGCGATTGATCGAGAACGTTGATGTCGTTGTTCGAGCCCGCGACACCGAAAAAAGCATGCCAAATCCACAAGTCNACGCATGTATTATTCTTCATAATATGATCATAGAGGATAACGGGTCTGCGATTTGTCAATACAACCCGGACGAGGAGGTGCCTATGTACGAAGAAATCGCCGAAGAAAAGAAACGACGCAACCGCCAATAAATTCGAAGCCGAGAGGTTCACAATGCACTAACGGCGGATTTGATCGAGCATATCTTTAGTCGTTCGAATAATTAGTAATTTCTTTGTACTGTTGTTTTTTTATGTAATTTTTTTAATGAATGTAATTTTTTTAAATGTTTTTTTAATGAATGTAAGATTTTTTTAATAATGAATTTAATTTTTTTATGCAATAGTGTCATTGCAATTAATTAAAATAATAAATTAATTTAAATTTAGAAGATGTATATTTAAAAATGTAAAAAATGAAGGTTTGAAGCCCCAGTTTGAATCCCCGGGGCTTCAAAACCATTTCCAGTGAATTTTGGGTGTAAGTTAAAGCTGACGTGGCAGAGATAGAAAGTTTGAAGCCCCGGTTTGAAGCCCCGGGGCTTCATGACCATTACCAGTGCTCTTACTGTTGCTCCCAAAAAAATTGAATTCTAACCGTTAGGGTCCAAAAAAAATCTATTACGTACTCCCTCCGTCCTATAATTATCTTCCCGGTTTATTTTATGAAGTTTGACCGACTTTATTTTCAAATCAATTTATTTGATTGTAGGTGTAAAATTAAAAAATAAAATTTATATATTTAAAAACTACATCAAAAGTTCTACAAAACAAGTGGTGACAAGACTATATTATTTTATCATTACCTAATGAAAATAGGTAAAGAAAGTGATTAAAGTTTGACCGTATAAAAAGTGTGTGGGAAGAACATTATATGACGGAGGGAGTAGTATATTTAAACACAGTTCTTCTACCCAAACTTTCATCATTTCTCCTCGAAAAAAATATCTCTATTTACAAAATATATATTAGGTTCCATGAAATGTTCTTCATCTTCCGACGAAACGGAGCTCTTTATAGTTCAATTCACAAGAGCTTTAACAATTTCTGATGTAAGATATTTTAACAATTTCTATACCAATTTTCAATAAATAACTATAAAAACACAAAATTAAATTATCGCATTCTGACAATATAGCATTTTATATACTCCAATATAACATTTTGTATACTCCAATGTTTTTATTATACTCCAATTTTTTTAAATTATTAGCATTATATGTCCTATGTTAGGAATAAAAATATAGACATCATATTTTTGTGTGCTTGCAATGCAAAATCAAGTATCATAACCTCACACACAAACTTTTGTAATCCATAATTTTTTTATGATCTTCTCCCATTTTTTTTGATAAAAAATTATTCCTTCTGTCTTAAAATGTTTCCCAGTTACTATTCACATGGTCAAACTTCAATCATTTTTTACCTACTTTTATTAATTATTTGACAAAATAATATAGTCTTGTCGGCTCTTATTTTGTAGAACTTTTAATATATATATATATATATATATATATATATATATATATATATATATGAATTTTTGAATTTTACACCTGCAATCAAATAAATTAAATTAAAAATAAAATCGTTCAAACCTCGTAGACAGAAACGGGAAGGCCGTTTTAAGATGGGTGAAGTAATTATTTGTCTCAATAGCAAACATTTACTTACACCATAAATCTACTCCCTCCGTCCCAAATTGTTAGTAATATTTTGAAAGACGTGTAAAATATCATCTCATATAAAATTGTTTTGTTTACAAATCAGTAGATAGAGAACTAAAAAGTAAAAATTACACCATTCAAAACTACAACAAAGATTTTACAAAAGAAGATGAGATAATAGTATTTTAGTCTATGAAATAATCTAGTGAAATAGGTAAGATGGAGGGAGAGTGAATGCACGAATTAAATAGGGAGTGTGCTTTACCAAACGTGTCTTTGGCTTGAAACTCAACCACCCAACCTTTTCGAGTGGGATAGATTTTTGTGTGCCTACCTTTGGAGTTTGGTCGCCTATTCTCCGGACTTCATTGACATGATATGCCGAGCCACTATACGACTAGTTACATAATTGAGACCGAATATGTCCTTAAAATAGTCCTTTCAAACTAAGTGGATGTCAGCTAGAGGAATAGATCTACCACGAATAGGCTTGTAGACTTCATTTTGAAAAACAAAAATGCTAGGGGTACACCAATTCTTGTACTCCATTTATACACCCTTCCATCTCCATCACACAAAAGCAAGAAAAGAAAAAAAAAATATTAAGAAAAATCTATGGCTATGATTGTTGGTGTACAAATGGGGTACACCAAATGGTGTACCCCTAGCATTCCTAAAAAACATTTACTTAGAAATTACCTATTTGAAAAAAACATTTAGTTATAAAAGAGCATTTCGAGAACTTACTTTAAGTCTAGATGATTGGAAATGCCAAATATCTTCTATTTGATTGATATTTAATAGACATTTTGGGCAGAAAACTATTTATGGAATACGTCTCAATTACAAAAGACCATGTTGGTAATTATTACTTATTTGAAACTACTTTAGAAAAACGCCTAATTAAAAAGAATGCCTCAAATCACTATTCAAAAATCAAGGAAATTTCTGTTTATTTGTATGTTTTAATTAATTATTTGATAAAACAAAATATTCTTGTTTTTTTAAGAAATTTTTTTTTACAGATTTTTTAAATATATAAATTTTTTATTTTTATAACCATCTTTATATATTTTAAATGAAAAAAAACTTGAAATTATACTTTGATTTGAGTAATGTGGTGGGATGAAAGAAGTAGAGTAGATTTTAAAACACCAAACAAAAAAACGACATGAAAAATTTGTTAGGGGACAAAGGGCCTATAAAAGATAAGGTCTACATCACCTACACACTAGACCCATTGGTGGAATGTCTTAATATGGCAATACGAAAAGTACTCCCTCCGTCCCAAATTATTTGCCTCATTTGTATTCCTGAGGCAAAATATTAATTTTTTTCAATTCATTTTATTTACATATTGGTAAAGAAATAAAAAATAAAATTTACATATAAAAAAATTACACGAAAAGTTCTTCGAAATAAGAGGTGTCAAGAATATTTTATTTTATCAAATAATCAATGAAAACGTCGAAATAAACAAAAGTTCCCGACACTGCTGAAAAAGCAAATGTTGTGAATATTTAGGGACGGAGGGAGTATATCTCTAAAATGCTGGAGAATTACTCACCCAAAAAAAAAATCGCAACAAATCCAAAATATTTTTAAAACATTGATTTTTCACAAAAACAAATGGAGAATTTGGTATGAGAGAAAGTTATTAAACCATGCATACCAATAAATCTTAATCATGGGTTCACTAATAATTCAAAAGAATCAAAGTATCACTAATTCCAAGTTTCCAACAAGGATTTACAATGTAGGAGTTTAAAATTGTTTAAACTAAATTTGCCACTTTACACGACAAGGCAAGTTTTTAATTTAATTAAAAGAATCATTTTGTGCTGGTGTTTATTACTCCCTCCGTCCCTGAGTGTTTGTTCACTTTCATTTTTGCACACCATCCAATGCACTTCTTTAATCCATTTTATCTTGTAATTTGTATATTAAAAAATTATAAAAATTATATATTAATAATCTATATGTTAAGACGAATCAAACAAGATCATTCATGATTATTTTTAGGCTTACACATTGAGAGAATTTGATGAGTCAAAGTGCTTAGATGAACAGTTCCAAAAGTCAAAAGTGGACAAACACTCAGGGACAGACCAAGTATTATTTATTATTGATAAGTACGTAGTAGTTTTTAATTTATAAGTTAATTATTAGAAAACTTTTTGTAAAGTGATTTAAATGAGAAAGGTGTCATTTTAAAATTCATAAAAGATCGGGGATAACTTTGTAAAAAATTCAGTTAAAATGGATAAACGAAAAAGGATATGTATCTAATATCCTATAAACTCTCAGTCCAAGTCTTACCCGCCTTTCTAGCTCCCAATAACACTCCCAATTTAGTTGATATTTTGGTCAAGATTATGACCAAGCTGTCGACCAAATTTGAGAGTGTAATTGAAGAAGAGTAGAGGCTGAAGTGAGAGTTAGGGAGTAGGAATTATTTGATGTCATTCCATGACATTGAAATGCAATTCCAATGTCAATAGATTGAGCCCATTTTTTAGGTTGATTCATTTGACATTAACTACTAGTCATATAAAGACACCAACCCATTTAAGGGCTCTACAATACTTCGTTCGTTTTCGAAACTCCTGTAATTCCTCCAATAAACTTTCTGACTTCCACCCAAGGTCTCTCACCCATCACCCAATTGGGTGAGAACCCGTGGTCGATATTTTGACAGTTGATTGTCACACAAATAGGGATAATAGATTAATGAAGTGGGGTGGGGGCTAAAGGTGGACTAAGATATGAACCGCTTCAAGATTGAACGAAGCATTGTAGGGTCCTAAAATAGATATAGTTCGAGTGTCATAATATAATGACACTCATAACCAATGTCAAAAAGTAGAAAGAAACGTCCAAAATGTTTCAAAACAAGATCCAAAATGCACTTAAGACACTTCATTAAGCATGTCCTGTCAATCATAGATGTTTGTCTTCAATGCTTTCAACCACTACATCAAGTAAATAGTTTAAGAGTTTTGTGTGACAATATTTAATTTGCAGCTGGAAATCAGTGCAATGTTTATTTATTCATTTTAAAAATCACCCATCCCCTCCCAAAAAACAATAATGATACAGATAATAACAGTAATAATAATGCATATGAATCCTTAAATGAAGTTCCCAAAATTGAAAGCATCTGAAGAACATAGAAAACAAATGTGGACCATTTCAGAGTGACAACAAGTTTGACACCATCCATTGTGTCATAAGCATGGACAAACAGTCATTGTTTAATGGTGTCAAGATAGGGATTTTCCAAGAGAAAGATTGATCATCTGCACTCAACACCGACCTCGGCTGCGCGCCTCGGTTTGTTTTTCCTTCGGCTCCCGTTTTGTCTGTACCCGGCCACGGCCACTCTCTTCAAATCGGTGGGCCCCGCGTTTCCATCTCCGGTGTCTTTGCTCAATATGGTGGTGTCACCTTTGGCATTGCCACCACCATCCTCTAAACCTTCTGCAACCTTAGTGTCATTCTCAATCTCATCATCATCCTCTTCCTTTGCTGGTTTAACCGGTCGCCCTCTTTTTCTAACCGGTTGCTTCTTCTCCTCCCCGCCGCTTCCGAGATCTTCATGATGGTTGAGTTTCTTCCCCTTCCCTCTCCCTCTACCCATTCCAAACTTCAAAGGAAAACTTTATTGGCCTAAATTTCTAGCAACACAGAAAATAAGCTCAGAGGCCTTAAATTTTTGCCTTCAATGGAATATGAATCAAAAGTCATCTATAGACTGGGAAACATCTTGAAGCCCATAAATTAGCAAGTTTGAAAGCAGGATTTGTGCAATTCAACTTGAGAATTTTTCATGTACTTTGCAAAAACAGAAGGAAAAAAAAAGTCTCCAACAGGTTAAGTGTGAAAAATCTAGTCAAACCACTTGTTTGATGAAATAAAATTGTGAAGTTTGGAGAATTTTTTATGTGGGTTTTAAATATATAATTTTCTTAAAGCATAATAAACCAAAACAAGAATCATATTTTGGGAGGGAGGGAGTATACTTTACTCAAAGAAGACTTTTTTTGGGATGGAAAACAGTCCAAATCATATGCATACAAAAAGATGTGATATTCATGGGGAGTATAGCCAAAATCAATCAAAATATAATGGAAAAAGAAAAGAATAATACCTATCTCAAATTAGTGTCTTCTTACTACTCTTGATCATGAAGAGAGCATCCTTAAACACCAAGAAAGAATAATCTGCAAATGAAAGATAATCAAGAACATTCAAACAGATTTGATTAGAAAAAGATTAACAAATAAATAAAATCACAGTAAGATGTTTATCAGTGTACAGAAACAGGAAATCATGAAACTAAATACCCAATAAAGTCTTGATTTTTGAAAAACAGATGCAAAAGAAATCAAATCCAGAGTTTGAAATAGACTTCTTGCTCCAAAGTCCAAAAACAGAAACATAATTTAAGTGGAACCCAATTTCAATGAAACCAGAAAAGGATTAAATATATATAAGCAGATAAAAACTATAGTAAATCAATGGATTTGATGATTAGAAAGGGAGAAAAAGTTTACATATTGAAGCAGATTTCCCTCAAAGAACCATTATAGAGTGCCGATAACCAGATTCTTAATCCTTCGAATTTCAGTACTTAGGGGAAAAAAGGAAGAAAACCCAGATCATAAAATCAAAGTGGGTGATGAAGATTTTTTCTTTTATCTGTGGAGTAGAGATTGGGGAAGACAAAACGCCAGGGGAACAAGACTTAAGTAAGCTAGTAAAGTGAGAAGACTGCAGGGATAGACTAATACTCCTTCCTCCCACAATTCATTATCTCTTTACTCCGTATTATTTTGACATTTTGATAATTTTGTTTGGTGGTGTGTTTTTTTTTTTGGATTAATGCCTATTTGATAAAATAAATTTTTTTGTGCATAGTTCAAAAGTGTATAATCAAATATGGATAGAAGAATGATGAATTTAATCCCTGAGGCCCCCCTCAAAATCGCTCGACCAATTATCTAAAAATAGATAAATTAAGTTTTAGTCACTGATTATCTGCTTGTTATTTTGACATTTCGATAATTTTGTTTGTTTGTGTGTATTTATGAATTATTGTGTATTCGATAAAATAAAATTTTTTGTACGTAGTTCAAAAATGTATAATCAAATATGGATAGAACAATGATGAATTTAATCCCTGAGGCCCCCCTTAGAATCGCCCGACCGATTATCTAAAAATAGATAAATTAAGTTTTAATCACTGATTGATGACAAAAAATAGAGTAAAATTCTAGTACTTACAGAGGCCATGTTGCCATCATGCACAATTATCAAAAATCGAATTCGGAATGAAAGAATAAAAATTTATGAAGGAGCGTAGTAGCAATGATATTATAATAATACGAGTGTCCTTAAAATAAAGTTATTTGTAACATAGTATCTAGTGAAGAGAGGAATTCTAACCAACACAAATATTTAGTGTCCATTTTGTGAGTTGTGAGTGGTTAGTATGATATAAATTTTTGAAATGTAGATAAAATGATATAAGTTTTGAAATTTGAAATAAAAATATCTAGAGATATCTGAAATTATAGTTGTAGACATCGCAGCAATGGTAATCGACAATTGAGTGAGCTAGGATATCAAATTTTGTGATAGATATCTTTCAAATTCTGAAGATGTCAAAATTCCACCAATTTGGAGAATTATAATATCTAGATATCAAACCTAAATGGTATTGATTTTACAGTTAAAAAATTAAAGTAGAAAAATGTGCATTTTCTTAAGTTGTAGTAAAAAAAACATATAGAGTATGAGAAATATGGTAGCTCATTTACTTTTGTTGCTAGTCAAATAAAGAAGAAAGAGATATGGTTCCTTCAAAAAGAAGAAGAAGAAGATATGGTACTACTAATTTTCATTGAAATGGGAGCACACAAGTTATTGAATTGAAATAATGAAATGGACAAATTTGACATTCCTTCTTATATTTTAGATGTTAATTTTTTTATTTTATATATAACCCTTCTTTGCTCAAGAAAATCTTTTTTGAATGTTATTGACTTTATTACAAGGTAGTACTGTTCATACTATTAAAGAAAATAATTTTGAGCACATAATTTTGGTATTTGCAGATACCCTATACTTAGCATAGTTGTCTTTCAGTATAATTGTCAGGAATCGAACTCGCGTCTTATCCTCTTGACACCCCTTACATTGTCAACTGCGCCACGCTCACTCGCAAGTACAAACATACAAAGAGAGCATTTGAGACAACTAAACTATGGAAACCACATTTAGTGCATCAAACACACAACTCACGAGAGTAGATCAAATAGTATATCATAAACCACATTTAGCATTTGCCTCCTTTATTGATCTAAGGCCAGAGGTGCGGGGACCCTGGGAGGAGGGGGTTCCGTTTTTGTTTTTGAAATCTCTTTAACTTTTATAAGCGTTCCATTCAACTTTTTTTGCTTCTTACATATTTTTATTAAAATCTGATCATTTCAAACCAGATCAGATTAAAAACTATTTTCATCAGGGAGAAAGACCAAAGTAGGCTAAAAACATTAAAAATATACCAAAATAGGACTTCCATATTTTTATTCCCGAAATAGGACTACATTACCAAACATGGTCATATACATTACCAAAAAAGTATAGTAATTTGCACATGTACACTGCCACATTACCACAATGCAAAGTCACATTACCACAGTGCAAAGTCCTATTCCGAGAAAAAAAACATGAAAGTCCTATTTTGGTACTTTTCTCTATGTTTTAGTCCTATTTAGGATGATTTCTATTTTCATTATAATTGCAATCAAATCAGACCAAATTAAATCAGATCAGATTAGATCTTCAAATCAGACCAGGCGAATGAAACGCAACTAATTTCTTTTTTTATGTGATCTCATGTTTCATAGAACATTGATGCACAGAGTGGTTTTAAATATGTACTCCCTTCGTCCTATATCTTTCTTCCCGTTACGCAAAACGAAGAAAAATCCCAAATTTTTTCAATCTATTTTATTTAAATATTGGTATAGAAATAAAAAATAAAACATGCATATTTAAAAACTACATCAAAAGTTCAACAAAACAAGTGGTGACAAGAATATTTTATTTTATCATATAGGCCATGAAAAAACACAAATAAATATAAATTCCCGTGAAGTGGGAATAGTGCTCTGGGAAGAAAGTTTTAGGACGTAGGGAGTAATTTTTACTCTTTGTTCCAAATTAAATTCTCTGCTTACTATTCATAGGATCTAACTTCATTAACTTTGTTTTCTCGTTTTCGTTACACATTTGATAAAATAATATTGTAATGTCACAACTTGTTTCATAGAGCTTTTAAAGCAATTTTGTAATACCCCGCATCAATTCTCAAATAAATTGTATTGAAAATAACTTCATCCAAACATCGTAAAGTGAAACATGCAATATAAATTGAAACGGAAAGAGCATTTTTTTAATTTCATCACAGTTCTCAAATAAAATGAATTGAAAATAACTTCAGTCAAACATCGTAAACCGAAACAGATGATTTAAATTGAGACGGAGGAAACATTCTTAAAACTTTTACTCCCTCCATACCGCCACATATTGGCAACCTATAGTGTAAATGTCAGCCTCTAGTGTATGGAGGGAATGAGCATATCTTTAAAATTACATTAAAATTTTGTACAGAAGTAGACTCTAAGACACTGAATTTAAATTTCAATATATGATCTTCTGATACATGGAAAAGGAAAATAACACTACAAAACTTATATGATGCATACCCTAATGAGTCTGAGTTTTATAAGGGATGGGTAAAACCTTTTTACCTAAAAGTAAAACGACTTTACCAGCGTCCCCGATGCAGTCAAAGGCTGGTCTCCCGTAAGTTTTCATCCACGGGACGATCTGCGTGCACTTTCACATTGCGTGTTCACAGTTCTACACCAAGGGAATCTTCCCTGCTTCCCTATGCAAAGATTTATTCCGTATACGCCCCTACACAACAACAAATATGATAAAGATCCCGCAAAAAAAGTAGGGTTTGCAGACCTCAGAAGTAGAAAGGTTGTTTCTAGGAGACCCTCGGCTTAAACACACCAACAAATTAAGAACACAAACACAAGAAGCACACATACTAACACTTCAACTAGACCCAAAGCACAGAAAGCACACAGATTTGTTTGAAAATGGTTGTCTCAAAGATATAAAATCAACAAAGTGGAAATTTTTTATTTAAAAAAAAAGAAGAAAGTAGGTCATCATGTACTCTGGTTCAGAGGTGCCATGGTATGAAGCTAACAACAACAAACCTAGTATCCCACAAAAAGTAGGGTATAAATTACCTATGGAGGACTCCTATAAAGATGGTGAACAGACATGATCAACATTCTTATTAATGTTTTATGAAATTAAGAAAAAAAGAGACTATTAGACTAAGTGCAACCACCAAGCACTACCGCTGGATCATGCCTGCAATCGCCGTTTTCCAGCCACCGCTTTCGTATTTTCTGGCCACTACACAGTCACCCCATCCACCACCACAGCCATTCATCAATCACCACACACACTGTCACCCTGCCACCCTGCCACCCTGACACTGCCACCCTTGTCCATCATCACTGCCACCCTGACACTGCCACTTGTCATTCACTCCAACTTCAGCATAGCCATAACAAACACAAAGAGACCCAAACACATTACAGCAGTCGCATTTGGACCGTTGCAACTATCAGTCCGGGAACGCCGCTGTGGGACCCTGTTCTTGCCATGATGCTGTTTTTGTGGAAGAATGAGAATGGCAGAAAGCTTGTAGAGGTCATCTGCAGCATGATCAATGACCGTGTCGAATCTGGACCGTCACATCCATCACATCTGAATCATTGGCTTCAGGAAACACACATACTCCAAGCATTGTTTTGCCACATCCATGGTGGTCTAGAGAAGTCTGAAGGGCAGCCATCACAGACGAGAGATATATTAGATAGAAAAGTGATGAAGAGAGATTTCATAGATCTTAAAGATTAGTGATAGATAGTCCGACATTGTGGATGATAAGTGGTGAGATTTTTAAGAGAAAGGGGGCCGTCACAAGATGTCTGTGTGTGTGTGTGTGAGAGAGAGAGAGAGAGAGAGACTGTCATCGTCTATAACACTCTACGAAGGCTTGCATTTTTTGTAACTAATGGTTTGTTTGGATGAGGAGGGAAAATGAGAGGAAAGAAAATGGTGAGAAAATGAAGAGAAAAAGTTTAGTGTTTGGATGGGTATAAAATGATAAGAAAATGGAGAGAAAAGGGAGGGAAAATAGCAATTTTGTAATTTGGGGCATGTTCCATTCCTTCGTTACGGTTTTCTTATCATGGTTGACCAGAAAGTTTTTGGCATGAGACCCACACAATTTTTTTCTTTTCTCGCATTTTTCTTTCTCATCCAAACATGAGAAATTGTGTTGGAAAATGTATTTTCTCATCTCCCCTTTTCTTTCCCATCATTTTCTCACCAACCAAACAATGACTAAATGAGGACAAAAGTGGAAGAGCGGATGACACTCTAAGAAGGCTTGAATTTTATGTAACTTAATGATGAAGAAATTGGAAGTAGAAATCCTAATGTATAACTAGCACCAAAACACTAGAATCCATAACTCTTTTAATTTTGGAGATGAACCTTAACTTTCATATCATCTCTTCTGTGTATTTAACATACGAGTAATATTATGGCATTATGCAAAATGTTACATGTACACCACAATTACACTACACCTTAATTTTTTTACTATACAGATGTCTTTTTATTTATTTATTTTCAAATTACCTTTTAACCAACAAAACTAGTATGTATAGTTCAAACTTTCGGGTGTGGTGTAAGTGCGGCATATATTTAGCATTTTCCTAATATCCCCAAGTATTATTTTTGTCAAAGGTGTAGTAAAGAAGTTAATTCAAGAAGACAACATTAGAAGAAAATATACTAAAGTTATAAAATGGCACTAATAACTAGGGAATGTTCTTGAAGTAAAATTTACCTCTATGATGCCTCTCCTTATATGTTTGTCGGATTCTGGGCTTCTTCCAACTGGGCATGCAGTGTAAACTATACAATTGAAAGCCTCGTGTGTCAGACAATTTACACTTGCTAAGAAATTGGTGCATCTCAAATGATCTTCAAATGATTCTCACAATTACTGCAGTTTGATCATATAGGTATAAAGCCGTTCTTCAACTTTTCCCAAACGCTATGGCCTTCAGGATGCAGATTGACATACTTACTCACAAAATATTTCTCAGAACAAGCTATAATACTCTGTAAAGACAAGTTAAGATCCACTCCCCCTTGAATTTTCAGCCAATTATACATATGGATCCTAAGCTTGACTCTCTGAGTGTTGAATGCAGTGTATGATGGAAAAGTAATCAAACTAGAGATTGGATATCCTAAGGTGTTCACAAGAAAATCAATCTTTGCTTCAATCCTCTCTTTGGTTTGGTTGAGAACATTAGGATGACGTTTAATTATTGTGAAGACGTCTTTTGGATCCAAACCAGCATTAACAAAGCAGTCAAACCTCTCTTGCAGCTCCAACCCTTTGCCTCGATAAGCTTTAATAGCTTTTTCTATTCCACTCTTGTTTTCATGAAAACCCAAACCTAATACAAATTCGTTTTTCATGGCTATTGATTTTTTTATCTCTTCTGTTGTTGGAAGCGGTTCAACTTTTTTCCCGAGAACCCATTTCTTCAAAACATGTGGGTCCTCTAAGATCATCTTACGTAGCTTCTTCTTCCCAGTATTTAAACAATTAAGCAAGCTACTTACTTTCTTTAAAGAACATGAACCCAGAAGCAAAGTGTGTGAGCTAAACATATTCCCAATCTCATGTACAGGCATATCTATTTGAATGAAAAGATGATAACAATTCCTTAAGTTCTGAAGAAACATCCCAGTTTGAACTTGTGGGAAATGAACAAACGTCATATATATCTTATTCTGATCGCATCCAAATTTCCACAAGAATCCCATAATTGAAACTACATTACGACCAGATCCCTCAAACAAGAGCCCTGGATTTTCACTTATTACTTTACCCAGTTGCTCTTTGCTGAAACCCAACTTCCTGAACAAGAGTAAGGCTTGGGATAAACAGTTCCATTCATATGAGTTTTCTTTAACAAATTGCTGAAAAATGCAGTCTTGCTCAATTCCAAAACTCTTCAAATTCTCCAGGAATCTTAAGAACTCTCTGTCTATATTCCCCTTCAAAAGACGAGGATTATTATGAACAAGCTCAACCACAGAAAGTTGGTCGAACCCAATCTTGGAAAACTCATTTAGTTTAGATTCCAATACTCCTTGACCATACGTGAAAATCTCAGGAGCTTCTTTGTAAATTTTCCCTATCTTATTCCGCGCAAACCCGAAACTACAGAAGACGCGGTAGTTCTGAATCAGAGCCTGATCATCACTCAAGAATATCAACTTTGATGGGAGAAACAGAGAGTGCTCGGACGGGTGCAACCCCATGCTCTCAAAGAAGGGCTCAAACTCATTAATGGGGTGGTACCTCAAATACCGAGATACAGACCCTGCACTACGGCTCTCACTGTTCACCTTGTTCATCAAATTATTAAGAAAAACTGGGGAGTTCCCACTAATGTGATCTGCATCCGAATACTGCAATCCTCTAGTGGAATGCAGGTACTCTAACAGAGCAGCCTTGGCTTCTCTCTTCATCTTCTTGGAAAAATGTTGGGGTGCTTCCTCCGAGATTTTCAGACATTCACTTTTCGTGCTATAAAACATATACCTCTGATCTCTGTCTATTGAACCCTTAATCCCAAATATCGCTCTTGACAATATGAAGCTTCTATAATAATTCCTTACATAAACGCATTTGAGAATAGATGAAATCCTCATATTCAGAAAATTTCCGGTGATTATATCGCTCTTCCTTTTGGAAGTTATCCGGCGTGGGGATAGGACTGAACTGAGAACGAGAATAACTGCTAAAGAATCTATAGAAGGAAGGTCAATGAGTTACCTTGAGCACTCATCACTTTATCTGCCGTGGATTCTTTACGAACATGGCAGAGCTCCGGCAGTCGACGGCAGTGCTTCCCACGTTTGCAGGGACGGCGGCAGGAGAAGCCCTCCAAATGAGGGGAGCAGAATCACGAATTTTTGGGCCTTTTGGGTGAGAACACGAAAAAGGCCTTCCAAATTCATGGGTCTTCTAAATTTCAAGTGAGGAATTTTATTCTTGGGCTTTCTTTCCTTTTGTCAAATTTATAAACAAATGTGAAACATATATTTTAAATTATAATACCCTCTTTACATTTCTTCATTTAGGACTCCTAATAAATTTATTTTAAAAATTTTGCTCAGATTTTATTGTGTGTAAATTATTATTTTTATTCGAGTTTTATTTTTCTTGTAGATGAATTTAAAAATATTGACAAGCTTTTGAAATAATATTTTATTATTATTCATTTTTTTAGTTTTTGAAACATAAAGTAAGTTTCATAGACAACTATTGCATTTAATTGTTCATTTTTAAATTTTTTATGTTTCTAATCAAATTTCATTACTAACTAAATAAATAAGAAACAAAGCTCGGGGGAGATGAAATCCATGTGAAAAGTTGAGTCCCCGCTTTATGAGCAAGCGTATGAGCGATACTATTAACTTTCCGGGGAGAGGAATATGACAAATCATGTTAGAACAAAACTCAACTAAAAAAGTATTACAATCATCAACTAAAATCTCGTGATAAAAAACGGGACACTTCTCCCACGAAGAGTCTTCATAACTCGACTATAATTTGAAAGAAGCTCCACGACTTGTATCCTTTTAGTTTTTGTCCAAATAAGAGCTTCTTTACACGTCATAGAAGGAACCTGCCTAGCTAATGATAACACTCCCAAAAGCGGCAGCACTATAGGGAGGAAATACAACTGCATCTACAAAACAACTAGGAAATATTGTGCACTGACTAAGAGTTATTTACATCAACTCATTTCCTCCCATTTGACTAAATCTGATTAGTGAAACGTGTATGACTTGTTTGACCCATCTCACCACGGGTTGTGGTAAAGGGATGTACTGATCCCAAACAGCTTTGTTTTTAACCCTCCAAATTTTCTGTATAGTTATTTTGCATTAAGAAATAATTTTGAAAACTAGTTCTCCATCCATTCATCTAATGAGTCTGTATGTAATAGATGAGATTGACATGTCTGTCCCAACAAGTTCTAAGTAGCCACTACTAGAGGACACCGAAAGAAAAGACGAGCAATGGGTTTCGTAGCACCCCTACAAACTGCGCATTTAGCGTCAATCTTTATGTCGTACCATACTAACCCTTAATGAAAAATGGAAACACATGAAAAAAGTTTGTAAGTAAAAAGGATAAACCCATCCCTAGTGATCCCTCTGAATCGTTGGTAATTGGAGAGGTCTTATGTTTAATATAGTTACTATCTAGTGCAGTTGTCAAAAAGCAAATTCAAGTATTACCTTTGGGCACCCATTGGCTTATCAAGTGCAATGCTCACCGACGAGTAATGCATTTTCATGGGAGCATATGAACTACACGACATTTCACTATTCACAAGTTCCAAGTGAACATAACTTATCGAGGGGCCTTAATAGTTAAAATGAAGATAATTTATGATAGAGGAAGTATTTAATTTTAACATTTTACAAATAATTTACATCATTAAAAAAACACTCAAAACTCCAATTGAAAAATGTCGTTCTCAAACAAGTCCATACTTTCATTTTCCACGATTATCTTCGACCAACTATTTTACTTGATAAAGTTTTAAATATATTGAGTTATTTACTACTCAATCCGTCCCAAAATATAAGCAATATTATGCTAAACGAAGTAATTTTTTGAATTTTTTCAATCCATTTTATTTAAAGAATGGTCTAAATATGAAAAATAAAAATTACATATTTAAAAACTACGTTAAAAGTTCTACAAAACAAGTGGTGACAAGAATATTTTATTATATCAAATAATCAATGAAAATGTAAAAATAAATAAAAGTTCTCGTGATTTTTAAATAGTGGAATGTTGTTTATATTTTGAGACGCAGGGGTACTTCACAGAATTATAACCTTATTTTAACCTTAATTTTTAAGAAAAAATTTAACCACATAGACATCATCTGGTTCGTCCAGACGGGTCCTTGTCGAGCCCAAGTACTCACAACGGCGGCACTTTCAAAGCTCCCCAACGGCCGGCCTCGCTCGTCACTTGCTTCGTTTTCATCGAAAAAAAAACCCTTTACGATCGCATCTAACACCTCATATCTCCTCATAACCGCTAGAACGAGCCCTAGATTCAGACGCTCCCTTCGGCCTCTTTGATCCAGGTAAGTTTTCCTGGAACAATTTCTCAAATCCTGTTGTGAAATGTATACGCATCTGTACAATGGAGATGGATTTCTTCTGTTTTTGTTCCAAAAATCGTTATTTTCGTTCTCGTGGGTTCGACCCGGAGTATTTCCCCATTTCCAGATGTTTATTTCCGATTTAGTTGATTTTGAATTGCAGCGATTCTTCTGATTTTATCGCATCCTTGTTTTTTAAGCCTGGTTTGAGCACATCCTATCTGTTTCTCTTTTTTTTTTTTAATTTTTGTGATTTTTACCGTAATTTTAACAGTACATTGCATTATAAGCTCGTTTCTTAGCCTCGTGCTTTGTGAAAGAATTTCTTTTTGAGAGTTTTGAGTTCATTTTCTGCTCTTTGCGCTAGAAATCAAACTTTATTGTTTTCTTCGAATGACCATTAGTTCCTCATCACATAATTTATCATGTGTATACAAGTTTCCAATCAGCTCTGCTTTTATATTTGACAATTGCACTGTTTCAATCCGGGCATTTCATCTTCTACTCTCTGTGCGTCCATCTCCGGTCCTGGATGCTTCAGCTCCCAACCTTATCCCATATTCCAATATACAAAATTATGTTTTGTGTCAGTTATCCACAAATGAGACTCAGTTTCATTTTTTTTTGTAGAAACGTAGAATTTTAAGATCTATTGTAAAAAACTTCAAATATGAAATGCTGTGTATGATACACCACTCTAAATATCATTTTTTTCTTTCTGCTTTGTTATATACGAAGATATATTTTTTCATTTTGTGATTGTATATATTTTGTATATGGTAGACTGATCTGCATGTATGTGTTTATGGTATATTGTTTTTAATATTAAGTGGATATTACATCAAAATATCTGTATTTTATTTTAATTTTTAACAATAGCAAATGCATAAAATGATAAATCTGCATTTAAAGCATTCTTTTCTTATTGAAAAAAGGAAAGTATATCAAGAGATGTCGGGTTAGATTGCTAGTGTGAAAAACTATAATTTTTTAGCTCAATTTATAGTCTGATAGCACTTGCTGATTTCACCCTTCCATTCATTGGGTGGGGGATGGGATAAGTTTTAAAAAGTTTGAATTTTGTTAGTGGGAAGTGTGAACCTATATAGCTTTCATTTTTGATAGTTTGTGGTTTGAAGTAAATAATTCTCTGCACAACTCTCTCCCACTGTACATTTTATTTGAAACAAAAGAGCCAAAATATAAGCCAATTATATTCATTTGACGGATACTTAAGCAATCATCATTGATGATGCTGTACTAAAAAGCCCACCTTTATTTTGGTTATAGTTTTTTCTGCCTCGTTTGGCAGAAAAATTGGCAAAAGAATCTGCACCATTTTAAATAATGCATAGAATAAATAGATATTATATGACAAATTCAAGCTCATTTCGTGTCTGCTTTGCTGTGTCATATTGCAGATTCTTCTTTACTCTTGTGAATTTAAGCTTCCCATAATGGCTGCCACTGCTACTCCCAGCCTTCAAATTGCAGCGGCCAACCTATGTGTTTCTGCATCTCGGAAATTTTTCAAGTCCAGCCCCTCAAGTTTTGGTTTTGAAAATAGGGGAAGATCTGCAGCAGAGCTTAAAAGTTTGTGCTTTATGTCAACGACTAAGCTACCGTCTCGAGGGTTTAATAGCAATCCTTTAAAATCTCAAAGGATGGTTACTAGGGCAATGTCCAGTTCAAATGATAAAGAGCAATTGCCTGGGCTGCCTATTGACCTAAGAGGTTTTTATATTTTCATCTCACGGAAACCTTCATTTTATGATTCTGTGAAGATTTTGCTAGTGTGTATAGTACGGAGTATATTTTTCTAGTCTTTTTTTTTATTATTTACATTCTAATGCTGTTTTAAATATGTTTGAACAAACTAGAATAGCTTTTTTAAAAATTTGTATTGGAAAGATTGTTACAGAATTTTAACAAACTTTTCTGTGCGACTTTTGAAGGCAATAAGTCTTCCACTTTTTCTTATCTTGCAAAAGAATATGTATCTTCTCTACATAAAATAAATGTATGTATGTGTTCATTTTGCTGACATTGTTGTAAAATGCATATGCCTTTTCTTACTGTAAAGATCATTTATTCTATTCTACTGAATGTGGATTAGGACGCTTATGAATTTTGTGATCTGTTAACCATTTTGTGTACAATGACATAATTAACTACTAACTGCAGGCAAGAGAGCATTTATTGCTGGTGTGGCAGATGATAATGGCTACGGATGGGCAATAGCAAAGTCTCTTGCTGCTGCAGGTGCTGAAATTCTCGTTGGTACATGGGTTCCAGTATGTATATATACAACTTTGTAAATGCTATTTAGTTGAAGTTATTCTCTGGCTGTGTATAAATATTTCTCATAATTTTTCTCTTTATTTAGGCTCTAAATATTTTTGAGAGCAGCCTGCGACGCGGCAAATTTGATGAATCAAGAGTGTAAGGGCAGAATTGTTCTTCACCCTTAGTATTGTTAGTTTTTAGATGATGATAACCATGTATATATACCGCATTTCAGCTTGCCAGATGGTTCATTGATGGAAATAAAAAAAGTGTACCCACTAGATGCTGTTTATGACAACCCTGATGATGTTCCAGAAGATGTAAGCTGTCCCGTCATCTGATTTTTTTACTGAATTTAAACATGATATTGA